TCACATTCCACGTGCTATACCCCTGGCTATCTCAGTTTCAGTTTCAGTTGATCAACTGAACACTCCAAGATATTGTTCTCACTTCTGTGGGCAGGTATTGAACTCACAACTGTTTGCTTTCAGTCACTTTTGAATCAATCAAACCAGCGCTTTTGTCCACTTGCCCTGATGAAGTCCAGAGCGTACAACAGTCGAAACGTCGTGAATATGGCAATGCAACAGTCGGAACAACATAAATAGTGTAAATAGTTAAAATAATACATGTCAGAAATAGAAACAGAATCGACTGTACATTTATTGGGAAAAATTGAGTTTTAAAATCTTTCACTGCCCTGTGTATGACGATAAACTACATCCACATCCTGAGTATGACGATAAACTACATCCACATCCTGGGTATGACGATAAACTACATCCACATCCTGGGTATGACGATAAACTACATCCACATCCTGGGTATGACGATAAACTACATCCACATCCTGGGTATGACGATAAACTATATCTGCAACCAGAGTAAGACGATTAGGAGGTTTTGTGGAGCGTGGAACGACTTTTTGAATGCTGGTGTTCCCAGGTTCACCCTGACCCGGGGTGGTAGCACCTGTTAGGTTCCCAGCTATGGGTAATAAGTTAAACCCTAAACTGGGGTCATAACAATATGAAAGTGCAAAAATAGGTTTTATAATTAGAAATAATTTGTACAAAATTATTACCAGCAATAAATTTTGAAGAAAAAAAATATTGCCAGCAATAGATTTTTGAAAAAAAAAACAGAAACAACGATACATTTTTGAGAAAAATTTTTTTTTTCCAGAAGTAGATTTCTGAAGGAAAAATATTACCAGCTATACATTTTGGAAAAAAAAAAATACTACAAGCAATACAACATTTGTCGGCATTAAATAACCCATTGAGTTGGATATGCCGTAAAACAAACCAAATCAAACGAAATTAAATTCTTTCAATGTGTGGTGAGTTGACGATTTAAAAATGTCTTTGTGCTTACAGTTTTTTTTGTGTTTTTTTAACAAATAAAGCAATTATTTCGAATTAAAACAAATAATCTTTCCAGTTACCAACAATACTATATAGACGAAAAATACGTTTTAATTTGGATATTAGCGCCAGAAGCGTACTGCAAATTGGAGACGTAAAAACTTAACTGGGAAATTTAATGTCTGGCAATTCATAATGTGACACAAAAATCGGAAGACGTCTTTATACAGTAAAAGACGCTTTCCAAACATAAACAGACTGTAAACAAAGAAGAAGATTTCCTTAGAATCATAAAAAAGAATGTGTGCCAAACTCTTATGTAATATCAAACCTGCTATAAAGCGATGAATGCTAGACAATTTCCACAATTGAAACTTGAAGCAACAAAATTGTAATTCTACATAGGAATGCCGAGAATATCATAAGACAGAATATGTAAGCAACATAGAAGTTTTAAGGAAACCGTGTACGATGAAGCACCCATATAAAGTATAAGAAAGTGTTGAAATATCTGGGATAAATAATGAGGAAAGATGCTTGTAGAATTTGGCATTCACCGGACACATTGAAGGCAAGCTCGATTGAGGAAAACATCTAGAAACCTTACTTACGAGCTTGTGTATATGGATGGCAGAAAAATACTGTGAACGTATGATGATGAACAATTCTTAAATCTACAAAAATTAGGAAGTTGTGGAGATACATGATCAGGAATATCTTGAAAGGACACGGATGATAAAAGAAGAAGATTATTGCGCTTCAATTATAAATTCCTGGGAAGAAATATCTTTCAATTCGCGATAGACGGAAAGTGAAGCCTATCGATGATTCGGGTGCCGAGCAAAACGACTGGCCATTGTAAAATCAAAGAAACGATGCTCAGCAAAGTGAAGCGGAAACGAATTGGAACGAGAAGTCAGTGAACAAGGGCAGACGCTGTTTACTGCAAGTAGATTGTAATTACAAGCAAATTGCAAGAGAATTACGCATAATTATCGTCAAGTCTGTGGTGTATTGATAGGCGTGTTTACATTTCCTCTTTCCTTCTGGCCATTGTTATATAAATTTTGCGCGGAAATCGACGAACAATTTATGAGGCAATTCTTTACGCGAACGCGCACACACACACACACACACACACATATATATATATATATTTATATATATATATATATATATATATATATATATATATATATATATATATATATGCAGACACAGAGTTAAAATATAGTTTGCGGCATAAAACTGATACTTATAATTATGCATTTTTTCTCTTTCTATCTCAATCACGCATTATATATATATATATATATATATATATATAAACAAGTTTGGCATATCAGTGTAAATTTAGTAACTAAATCCACCGGTTTCGTCCAACTCTTATCAAGTTTTACTCTGGGAAATAAATGAATAAACGTGTAAATTAATAAAAGACAACTAGGGAAGAATCAAAAACATATTTCAGGGAAAATAGAGACCAATAATATTCATACCCAGCAAACAATCCCTCTGTTTACAGAGAGAAGGCTTGCGAGATCTGGTATATAAGGACTCCAGGGTATTAAGTTGATATGAAGAGAGGAACCTTGATAAAAGAGAGAAACGGTCCACACTAAGATCAAATCCTGTCATTAATAATGTGATATATATATATATATATATATATATATATATATATATATATATATATATATATATATACACATCGTGTAACAGTAAAATTGTTCAAATTATGCAACAGCAAAATTGTCCAAATGTTAGATTATTTGAGACATTGCATCTTAGAAATGATTAAAGATATCTTACTGGAATTTTCCGAGGTTTTTAAAATACTATTGGACTCTACATTGAGTAATTAGAAAGTGTAATTTATCTCCAATCTTATCAGAATGTGTTGCTTC